AAAAAAAATCTCGTTGAGATGAAACTCTTCAACAATTAAATATTTAATCAGTTTATAACACAAGAGAATGTTTAATCTGCATGATTTACCAATTAAATGCTGCACCCTGATGTGTCTTCAGCAACATGAGAACTAAAATGAGACAGCTTCAAAGGAGCCCAGATGGGTAATGCCCAATAAATGTACAAAGGTTTAGACTCGGGTTAGTTTAGTGTCTGCCCTGGAAAAGATTCACTTTAGTCAACCCTAACTTGCCTGGGTTTGTATGTCCTTGGGCATCCAGAAGTGATGTCAAGGAGCTCTTGGGGCAATGACTGTGAATGTCATTGGTGACGTCCATCAAACTGCAACTACTATCCAGCTCCGAGACCCAAAGTTCTCCAGGACTATAACCAGCCTCTCTCCGGGCACGTGTGCACCTTTGTGCTGTGAGAATCTGGGGCCAAACGTCACAGCAAACACCGCTGATGGAACATGACAGGCAGGAAACCTTTGTCATACTCTGACAAGGTGATGATGGTTTTTGATTGATAAAAATTGTAAAACAGCTGCTGAGCACGATGTCTCATACACTGGGACAAGAGAGAGCGCTAAAAAGAAGACAAACTTTCTTTTGGTGAATCCATGATCTCTCTCAGTATGGGGGCACTCCCTTTACCCAGGTAAGAAATGTTAGACAATGGAGTAAATTTAACATGTAGACTTTAGACTTAGCATGTATATACCCACAGCCACTGGAAAGGCAAAGATACCATTGCTTAAAATAGTCTGGTGACTCAGGAAGACTTAGCATGAATAGTTAGAAACCTGTTTTTCTAAATTTGGGGTTCAAAACCATGATGGTTGATACACTGGACATTCTAGAGCACAGCTGTTCTCTTACATAGATGCTCATCTACTTTCTCATCAATTGCACTTTGTTGCCTGCTTTCACTTGCCCATCACAAAGAAATTTAAGAATCACTATTCTGGGGAGCAACATGCACCATACAACCAACCCAGTATTTTTTTTTTTTAACCATAGCTAAATTAATTTACTTGGTTTAAAATCTGGAAGGGATTCTAGAAAACAGCGAGAGTTCTAGACCAACCTCTTCAGTTTATGTATCTCAACTACATTGAGTCTTAAACAGGTGATAGCACTTTTTGACGTTCATTTGGATAGTTAATGATAGAACCATGGCTGAAACTTCTGGATTACTGACTCCCACCCCCAGCCCTGCTTAACCATTTCCAGTTCTGTAGGCCTGGACAGCATGGACTTGGAAACCAGAGAGGCACAATTTCAAGATCTGACTCAACACTTAACAAGTCACTTCAATAAGTGCAGGAGTCCTCAACTGAGAAATAAGGATAAAATGGGCACAACAGGCATCTAATACAGAAGATGAAAGATTATATAGGAAAAGCACCTTGTACATTTCTTGGTATCTGTACCCACCTAGGGATGACAGCTAAGGCTATTACATTTCCTTGGTAGTTTGAAAAGATGAAGGAAGTACCTTCAACAAACTCAGTTCCTTTTAAGAAGAGTGACCTGCCATCACTGAGCGAAACCTTTTTGTGCAGTCATTTCATAGTTGAAGCAGATAGTATTTCATAATTTTCACCACTTTTGGAATGAAGTGGCATGTCCTGGTATTGGCCAGGATCACATTTTTGATCCTCCAAGGGAACTTTTAGTTTTAACATGCAATTACTTTAGCTTTAATATTTCAAGAATGATATAAAAGTCTGAGATTGCCCTACTTATGGCCTTTCAGTGTTTTTTTTAAAGATTTATTTATATATTCATATAGAACTGGGGTATACAGGCCAGAAATGCGGAGGGTGAGAGGATTCACCAGAGACAGAGTAGGGTGCAGAACAGGCAGGTCGAGGAAGTACACTGCTGAGGGGAGCAGCGGGCAGGTCAGGAGAGGTCTGTCTCTCCATGTGGTCACCTCTGGGGCAGGCAGGAATCGAACTCATGCGGAAGTGGCTTAAGCTTTTTAGTGCTGTGCTTTAACCCACTGTGCCACCAGGGAGGGCCCACCTTTCAGTATTTTTACAAAGGATTGAAATACAGATTTTATTCATCTCTCTCTTCGAAGATAAGAGACATAAAAACTTGCCACGGAGGCTAGGATAATCATAACAGCAATGCAAGGGACTCCAGAAGCTGAGTCAGGCACATGGTTGTGAGAGTTGTACACGCCCAGGAGCTGGAGGTGCCATTGTCATCTGAACGCGCATCCCAAAACATGGGCCACAGATGGAGAGCCTTGATCAGTTTGCAGCCTTAGCACAAAGATTTCAATTGGCCCCTAAGGTATTTCCCACAAAGATCAGGAACAATTAGGATGTTCAATTGATTAAAAACTTTTGAGGCCAGGGACCACACAAGTGATTAGCTACTACTCTCAGAGAAGGTTTCAGAGACTGCCAATACTTTTTGCATGGTATCAAGCAGCAAAAAGAGATCTTATAGCAAAACATGAGTTCTTTTTTTAAAATGTTGGCAGTGGAGGCAGAATGCGCGCATCTTTCAGACTAACTGATTTTCCTAAAAACACTGCAATATGTGGTAATTCAAAACTACGTGGATTTCATCAGGGTGAAAGGGTTAAACTATTTTAATGTAGGACCAGAAATTGGAGTCCCTGTTCCCATATCTGGGTTGGTTAAAGTCACCAGTGTAGGCTCACTGTAGCATGTGAGTGTGTGGACATGCAATTTTTCTTCATCTAAAGTTAAGAGGCTGCCTTTCCTCACTTATTCAGGAAGTACTCTAATTGGAATAGCAAGAGTTTGTCATGATACCTGAATAATATTCTCTTCAATCTTTTCTGTAATAGAATAAGGTTGCTAACAGTATTTATAAGGTCATTATTTTCAACTGTTTCTTGACACCTAACAATATTATTTTAAGCTCCAGCCAAGTGGATTTCCAATAATTATATAATGTCTCTCAGTAATGATCTGTTGCTTTAGATACACATTCTACTTTACCTTTCAACACATGCTTGATAACCTCTCATTTACTAACTGTAATTGAGGCAAATTCAGTCCTGGCTAATTAGGGGCTCTTAGTACCCCCTTATACATGTTATTCTTGATGACACATCAATAGAATAAGAGTTTACTTTTAGTTTTAATTACAGTCACAAAAATGTACAACTTAAAAAAATATTAGACTACTTAAGTACATTACAACTACTTTACAAAGAACAAGTCCAAAATTCTGCTGGGCTTGTGCAAAATGACAAAACTTTTAAGACCAAAAAAGAATGGCAGCTTGTTAAAGGTTCTTTACAGACGTTAACCAACAGCCATGTCAGATATTTAGTTGTGGAAACCAAAGTATATAGTATATATATTGCCAGGACAATTAAACAAGCATATCATTTAATGTTGGTCTTCTTGTATCTACTTTCGTGAGCTCCGATGGCTTTTTCTGCCACATAAAAAGCCTTCAAAAGAAGTTCAGTGAATGAGGGGAGGCGAGAAGAGGAAGTGGGGAAGATCTTTGTGGAGGAAGAGAGTCTATTTCTCCTATGAACTGATGATGAGAATGGCTAAGCCTTGCAGATAGCAGGTCACCAAAACAAGAAAATTTTAGGACACACACCCCCGTCTACAGTGGACTAGATGGACAATGACTCTGCCTTCCTTTCTCACCCTAGAACATGATGCGTTAGCTTCTTCACTAATAAGAAACGCCCTGGGAATGACAGCAACTCAACTTTTCTTTTTCTATTCAATATTTTTGAAAATGACCATGTAAGCAAAAAAGTAAAAGAGAACTTAGAAGTGAAACATATGTTTGTAAAAGCAGAGCAATACCGAATGGAAGTAAAAGTTGCTAATACAGTTTCAGTATTTTGTAAAAGAGCCAGCTGGATGGATGGTAATTTTTCTACCCCTGCAGGGCATCAAAGCTTTTAGGAAATCATTCTTTTCACACATATTAACACTTAGCTTATTAAAACAGATGATACTTTTATTGTAAAACAGCCTGGGTAGAGGCTAGAAACATAAAGTATGAAAGGGAAGACTCATTTTGACCACCAATCTGACAAACAGCAACTCTGGCATGACAGACCATGGTGGAGAGGATGACGTCGAGGGACCTTCTGTAACTGCCACAGCTGAAGTGTCACCATGAAGCCCGTGAATTGCTGTTATGAAAACATTTGCAGTAACTTGCATAATTAAATGAAACTGCCAGAAAAGCTTTTCTAAAATGCAGAGAATATGTACATAAATAAGTACAGTTCAGAGCAAATATTATATTTCAGAATTAGCATGGTGGTGAATTATGCAAAGGTATGTCACAAGCAAAGTACCATTTGCTTTGAACTGACTGTTAATTACAAATGAATGACAACATTGTTATTGAAATTGACTGCTCTCTTAGTCTCTTTTACACATAGTCAATAAAGGAAACTTGATGATCTCGGTATCTGAAAACCACAACCCCCCATTTCTAGGAGTTGCCATGTCTCTGTGCCGACCTGCCCAGTGACAGACTCACAGGCTTTATCTGTTCACACACTCACTGCTGAAATCCAGGCAGAAACGTTCAGCACCAGTAAAGAGGCAGGTATCTGGTTTTACTGCAGCATATTTCATTACCAGAAACACATTATACTGACTTTGAAAAACTTTGCTAACATGGGCCAAAACCATTATAACTGATGGCATGTGTAGAAAGCTTCAAAAGCTTGTGGAATAATGCTGTACATAACAGTAAACGGATTACCGTAATGCTTGTTAAAATTAACCTTAAACGGTTTCTGAGACACTCATTTAAAAAGCGACAGTTTTCATGGACAAAAAGCAGTCAATTAAGGCTTCTGTCAGCAGTCAAAGAAATAAAGTCAGCAAGTATGCTAACTGCATAGAAAATAAAGGATCCAAAAGGGAGAGCCTGCTAAGCAAATATAACATCAAAATGCAACTTTTACGGCCAACATAAATCTGTAACGTCGGCACACCCCACAAGGTTAGTTACTTACATCAAATAACTTTTCTATATACATTTCCTCATTGACCTTTTCTCGAAGAATATCCTGGTTTTGCCGAACAAACATAATGTAGGTGTCTGCCAGATCCATTCCTGGTTTCTGTTGTGAGGGAAAAGTATCGCGAATAAAACATCAGGTCTTGATTGTAAAAGTATTATTTAGTCACCACCCTGGAAAATTATTCACCATAGCATTTTTAAATTACTAGTAAAAATATGTTCAAGCCCAAATCAACAATGGACACCTCCAGTAAATTATGTAATTAAAGTAAATAAAAGTCCATTATTAATGTCTGCAACTTGAGGTCATGGTTATTCACCATTATTAAAATGATTTGAAATGTATGGTTGTAATCTAGTAGATGTTTAAAAAAAATGGCTATCTTGAAAGGTCAATACGCAAAGCAGTATAAATGAACAATTTAAAAAAATGTCCCACAGGCAATAATCTTTTCCTAATTGCAAATACAGTTTAGTTATTATTTTCTCTATCTGGATTATCCATTTGTATAAAAATGAAAATATTAGCTTTACTTGGGTTGCAACCCATGTAAAGAATACAAGTACTCATGAAATACAAATGAAATTTTCTTATTAACTGGAGTAAAATATTGCTAGGGAGAGACTGGGCAAAAAATCTGCAGATAAAACAAAATTTTGCAGCTTATCTAGGGCTTGTACTCATTGATGTTTATCAATACTACCTTAAGGACTTAGTTTGTTTTGAGAATAATATCAATGAAATAGTCTTGTCTAAAGAGATGAAGGTAAGGATTGGATAACTATTCAAAGTTAGCTCACATTTACTGTCTTCCAATATCCAGGAGATAGTGACATAGTAAGGGACAAAGACCTAGATGTCTTCTCAAAGAGTTTTCATTCTAGACTTAGCTTCAGTTCTTTCTTGAGTTTCAAAGAGCTGGACTGTCATGAAAGTATTATGTTCTGATCTCAACCTGGGGTTGATTCATACACTGTATTGCACTGTTCAACTAACTAGGATACAGCTTTACTAATAAAATGGCAGAGCTGATGACCAACTAGGTCACTCTGGCATCATTCATATCTATAGAATGCATTTATAATTTCTATCAATATACTCATTTTGTAAATATTGCAAGAAAATTAGTGGGGGGGAGGATACAGATCATTTAACCATGATTGCTTCAGGAAAAACAATGGAAGTGTACTTTGGAATGATTCCAATACTGGAGGTGCTATCTACTTAAATGAAAGCCAGAAAGTTCTTATTATGCATTTTTTTTAGAGGGGGTGAGTGTGGGAGAAGGAATAAGTCTTATATACAATGAAGATATTGTCCATCTCTAAACTCCATTGCACAGTGTAGGCAATGGCATACCTCACTGATAAAAATATTTTTTTTTATAACCAAGTTATTTTGGGGCAATGGGAATCACACACAGTTTTTACTGCTCTTAAAGGGTAATATATGCAACATAAATTCATGGTTCCTTTCAAACGTAATTCTGAAAAGCAAAATTAGGGACCACTTATAATATGAAACAAATCTATCTTTCAATGCACACACACACAATTTTTATTATCTCTTCAAAAGCATCCATGTGTGTTGTCCATTACTATATTGCAAACTCATAGATCAAATTCAACCTTTGCTTTTTTTCCTGCATAATTCTCATAAGCAATATTTGAAGGGATAATCAAGAGAAACATAAGTTGCTTTTCTTCTTTATTGGGGGCAATATACAGCAGCTTTTCCAGTGAAGAGGGGAAGTGAGAAGTGATTTATACAAAGATTAGTAACTACTATTAAGTAATACCTTAAATTTTTCTCTCCAGATCTCTCAAACTTTGTCAAAACACTGAAAGTGAGAACACTCAGAAAATACACAGTAGCAGAATGAAAATTAACTTGAAAACAATTTTTAAACATAATAGCAAGGTAGGTCAGCTTCCTGTCAGGTGCCTAGAACAGCAGGCTGTTAGCTGAGTTGGCAAAACCGGGAGGAAAAGATCAGAAAAATGAGAGGCTGCCTTCTCCACTCTTACTTCCCACCGCAACATTGTTTTTATGACCACCATGATTTTAGAAGAAAATCATGTTTAGAATTTTAATCAAGTCAATCACTTGACCCATCAAACTTATTGGAAACTGAAGTTATGGCTGAAGGACATCTACTATAGAGTCTAAGGTAAATTCTTTTCCTAGTTCCTTGATCATTTTTGAGATAACACTAGACATCATGAAACACTGTTCAGGAAGACTTACTGTCCTACTATCTAAAACTAGCAAACACTTACAGTTTTAAGCCTAAAGGAAAATGAAGGCTATTCCTATAGTCAGACTCAAGGGACAGAACACCAGAATCCATAAGCGGAGTCACTTCTACAACTTTCAAAGGACAGAAGAATCTCCGACTGCGGATGTGTGGGAAAGCTCACTTAAAAGTTTATTTTAAAAATGAAGTATTTTTCATTTTGAAATTACATTTTCTCCCTCTTTTGGCAAATTAAGACCCACTTGCCTGGAAAACAAAACCTAGAATTCTTACATTCCTCATTAGCATTCTTTCTTCCTTTATCTTTGAGCTGTTTACCTATTCTTGAAACTGTGACATATGGGAATTTCACACCTAGTGAATATATTTTCATGTAGCTTGTGGCATGCGACGATAATCATTAAAAGAATATACACAAGAAGAGTAGCTGCAACAGCTGGTGACATTTACCAATTAGAATCAGAGTTCTTTAAAACACTATCTTTCCTTTGCTGTATGAAGGGTAATTATCTCTGATAAATTGCTGAAAAAGATGTAATTTTCCTTTTAAACAGTTTCTACTTACAGTACAAATGTGTTTGGATAGAAGACATTATCGCTGGCTCAGTGCTTCTTTGTGCAAAGATTGTTTCATGGTAAGGAAAATTCACATACTTTGGAAGTTATGCATTGAATTCCATTATGAGAAGTTGTCTTATTAGGAAACGAAGTTTAGTTAAAAAAAAAAAAACAAACAAAAAATTGAACATACTCAGTAGAATTCTTGCTCTTTGGTGTGTATAGTAAAACATGGTGCGTGTCTGGGAGACCGAGACAATACAGTCCCAGAGACAGCAATATTACAAGGAGCTCTGATTGTGTATCTGGCTCATCAAGGCAGCTGCCTGTAAGATTTTAACAATGTGGATTTGAATGAGTACTGATCAGGAACCCTATGTTCTAGAAAGTTATATGTAGAAGTATTTTCCACCTTGGTAGTTAATAGTTTTCTTAATGGATATAATAAATAACAATCAAAACCACCTTGCAAGTCTGCACGTACTCTAATAAGTACCATTTAGAGAGAGAAAAAAAAATGCCCTTTTAATAAACCCACTTCAATTGCTGACCTCTTCAGTTCTCCAACCACTAACTTTCCCTGTTTTATTAGGGTAGCAACTGCTAAATCAAAATAGGTGTTCCTGAATTACTTCTTTTTAATTCACAAAAGAGAATTTGGCTAACATATTCTTAGAGTAATGAAAAATTTCCCTTGAGCAGAAAGACATCCATAAATATGGAAAGGAGGAAAGGATGGGAAGGCAAGTTCCTTTGACATTGGCTGCCTTGGTAATAGAATACACTGGTGAGTGAATGAATTTAAGTGTGGGTGCAGACAAGAGCAATTTTTTTCAAGCGTTAATCACTAGTTAACCTAGTGAGATGAGCATGCTGCTTAAAAAAGGAGGAAAAAATTCCTTGTTAATTATACACTGCAAATGCTCTTACTTCCTGCTGCTACACCTAATTCCACAGGTGCAAGTTTCGCTTTCTCCATTCATGGGTAGGTGGGTGCAATTCTGCAGTGCCTTTCACAGCAGCAGAGTTAGAGAAGCAGCCTCTTAACCTCCAATTGCAGGTTAACAATACACTATGCAAACACTGTCATGGTGTGTATTATAGTAAAAAAAAAAAATGAGACAACTTTTTAAATATACTATTCCAGTCTCAAAGATGAACTGGAAGCTACTGTATAATTGACTTCATTTAAAAGTGCACTTCTCATAACCTAGAATAGCTTGTCCTGAAGAAACAATGAAGAGAGGGGCTGTGACATCCTGGTTTGGGGTGATCTACGTGCGTCAGAAATGAAATGCCTGCCTCTAGTCATGACTGTAGTTTGGGAAAAAAAGATCTTGTAAGACTGAGAACAATAACCAGTCTTGTCAACATGAAGTGATAATAGGGACAATTTATATCTCAACTCTGGCATTTTAGGGTCAGAAGCAGTTTATAATTGATCAAGGAACAAAGAACATAAAGCACATAGTTTATCCCAGGTATTGTTAAAAATATTTTTTTTTCTTTCACTGGTTAATGTATCTTCTGTTACTTTAGTATTTATGCAGCAATTTCTGTGTCTTTATAGTTGAGCAAAATGTTCTTAAAGTTAAGCTTTTCAAAGTGGACTTTTTTTATAACTATAATGATAATATTGTAAAAAATACATTTTACCAACACTTCCATCACATACAATTAAACTGTAATTACACAGAATAGCATAAGAAAATAAAAACACACCGACTTGAATTCTTTACTCTAGATGCATGCCAACTTCAGCTTTACATAGGAATACTTCCAGGAAAGGAAGGACTCTGATAAATTCGGCATATAAAGCAATCAAATAAAATGCCATAAATTTTAAAGATTTTTTTAACACTGGCAGGCATTTTGACTCCAAATGGAAGTAAAAAATTATAAATGAAAGAAAATGGGCCACATCCTTTTGAAAACATCTTTTCGACTTGGAGGCATCTTATGTGTGTATTTGAAGTGTGCCTATTTCATTCAATCTTATATTTTCCCAGAGTTCTTGCTCTGGAAAAGCATCTCTGCTTCCCGTGAACATGAAGTATAAACAGCATACTCCTACCAAATGTTCCAAGAATATATCAAAAACAGGTTTAATTAATGTCCTATAACTCAGGTGTTCCTTTTCCATTCTAAGCGTTCGCATGAATGCCTCAAGTTCTTTTTCTAAAGCAGTGACATAGTTTATGTATTTGCTGAGTTGTGTATGTTCATTTTTTTTGTATCCTGCATTTTTAAGTTTTACATATTAAAATAAATATTTTAATGGCCATTCATAATACTAGCCTGAAGTACTCCAGGAAAAGAGAAAGGCTGATTTTCCACTGAGTTTGATGGACTTGACCTTCATTTTACAAGACTTTACCCATTTGAGACTACGGGTACTAGTAACTCTTGTTATTTCTGATCGACAATATGGATCACCAACAGGTCAGATCTTAGAGGGATAGCTGGAACTACTAGGTGTATCATATTAGCTTTAAACTATTATTTTCAGTGTTGATAAAAGTATTAAATCACAGTTCATAATAACATCCATTTAACTTTTCCCTTTTTCTCTACAGTTTTCAGGATGTCAACTATAGAAACTAAACTGAAAATCTGAAGAAGTGAAAATAAAATGCTGTGGGTATTATTTCACGCAGCTCATTTAATAGACTGCCATGGATTTACTCAGCCCCCAATCTGGAATCTCTCAGACTTTGGGTTAGGAGGCACCTGAGGATACTAGCAAGTCGGTTCCAGAGCCAGGTAGTCAAGGGTTTAACTATACGAAATGGAAGAGCCAGAGAGGGAAAAAATAAAGGCATGAAGATGAGAGAAGCAAACTGCACAATACGTAACATCCCCAGCTCCTACAAAGGTAAGACTCTGACTCTGGTCCCGGGGTGCCTCTCTCTCTCCAGGTGCAGCTTTCCCAGTGGGCAGGTCCTCTGCTCCCCAAGTTATGCCTGGCTCTCATTCTGACGTAAAGCGCTGAGTATCACAGTGACCTTATCTCCATAATAAAGGGCATGGAAGCAAAGAGAGGAGAGAAAATGCCATGCTCGCTAACCTGGCCAGCTGTAACCTTTAAAAGGCGCCATTGATATATGCAGGTCTTTAATATTCTAAAGTAAAATTAAAAAAAAAAATCACTCTGGGGAAGGCAAATGTTTTTTCCTTCACAAATGGCCATGATTTGAAGAAGGGGCTAGAGTGTTGCAGAACACACCTGCAGCAGGACGTGTCAGTCTGGGAGAAGCAGCAACAACCCCATTTGTCAAGCACCTTCACGCTAATGTGCTCTTTGAATCCTCACAGGAAACTGGCGCGGGAGACAGGAGGGGGATTATACTCAGCCTCTGTGCAGGTGGGCAGTGGAAGCCCAGAGTTCATACAGGGCCGGGGGCAAAGGAGGGGCATGAGCTGGGCTTTGGGTCTCCCACCCTGGCCAGACAGCATAGAGCGGAATTCTAGTTCCATTTGTGGAGCTGGACCTTAAACATCACCTTAAACATCACCTGCTTATTTTTCCTACATAACCCAGAAATTCTGAACAGCCCAAACAGTGCGTGGATTCTACAATTATATGTCAATTTGCTAACCATCTTAATTTTTCAGTTTTGTCTCCCAGTCATGTCCTCTTGACAGATACAGAGGCTTTTCCTTCTTCTAAGTGGGAACTCTCTATGTGTCAAATAAGATTATCTTGGTACTTTCCTCCTTCAAAGGCAACATTCCAATTTCCTTTCTTTCTTCATAAGCCAGTATTTCCTGATTCCCTTAACTGTTCTGGCTGCTCTACAGGAGTAAGTAAAAAACAGTTTTAACATATAAAAAGTTAAAAGACATACAATTCTAGCTCTATTTCTTAAAGAAACTGGTGTCCACAAGACTATTTGCATTAAATCCAAACTCATCAAACTTTCTACATTAAATCTGCACAGTTTTTAACATACCCATTACACCTCAGTAGAACTTTTGAAAAAAAACAAAAGAAACTGGCATCCAAGGTAATACAGACATTAAGTAATGGAGTCAAGACTCAACGCAGGTAGCCTGACCCCTAAGGGATCTGTAGTCTCTGCTGTGCTGTCCCCACAGCTCCATCCTCTCTCAATTTAAAAAATTAGAAGCTTCTCTAAACTACTGTCAGATGAATTTTCACAGAACTTTTCAATATAACTTGCTGTCCTCTACATCTTCCCTATATAATATTTTGGGGGAGGTTGGTTGGAATATAACACTTAAATCTCACTAAAGTTTATCTTCTGGCCTAGTTTTTGTCCACAAATCTAATGTGAACATTTTTATCCTGGTTCTGCATCTTAGATACCAGTTCTTTCTCTCTCAGGTCTGAATTCCCTTCTCCTAAGTTACTGTTGAACACGACAGACTCCTTTGTCTCAGGTCTGAATTCCCTTCTCCTAAGTTACTGTTGAACAGGACAGACTCCTTTGTTCCAAGTCTTGATTCTCTCAGGTGTATCTATTGTTTTGCAGGCCCTCTGATGGGCCAGGACTGTACCCACAGGAGAACCGCTGCAGGAGAGAGCCCTTAGGCAAGAAGTCACCTACAAGGCTCTCAGAAGGATGCAGTTGATCCGAAGGATGCATCTTGATCAGAAGCACAACAGCAACTTTGCTAAGAAGATGATATTGGAACTTACTTCTATTCAGAAGCAGAAGAATAGCAATGGTGCTCCATTCCATTTGTAATTAATAAAAACACAAACTATCCTACAAATATGTGTTAGGAAGTGGAACAAAGTTCATATGTTCCCTTGACTACCTGCCTCTTTCTAAGATAGCAGCTATAAATCCTTCTCCTTCAGTCTCCCTTTCTTTTTTATGATCCTGCTTTGTAGAGCCTCACACATGTCATTATTTCTACTCTTTGTCCTGCACGAATTTCCTGTCTCTGGGTATAACTAACTACTATGCCAAGACATCTTTGGGAGTCATTTGTAAAATGAAAGCCCTGTTCTAAAGACATTCATGCAAAGGTAAGAAAGTCTATGGTCTTTTTATGTAAAATGCCCATTCATACCAACTTTAATGGTAAGGAATTTGGGAAATATCTAATCCACAGTATACACTATTGTTACTTATTTAAATAATAAGTCATTGATGACTAATAAAGCTCTCTAGTGCTTAAACCACTAACATAATGGCAAGTGACAGATGAAATGTTAGCAAAATCTGAATCAACTTCAATAACATATATTCTATCTATTTTAAGTATTTTTAACTGTACTCTAATTCTCTGCAAGTACATATATATATACATGCACATATATATATA